CCAGTAGCTCAAGTTTAATTTCTTGCAATTCCTGAGCTTTGACTTTTTCGTGAGAAGCGCTAAAAAATATCCCGGCTTCATTCAAAATTCGGACAGTTTCTCCAGTGCAAAGCAATGAGCTTTGCACGCGTTCAGCGTCATTTTCATGTTTCTTGGAATAGCTGCGCAAATGCTCCTGCAGATAGGTAGCATGGGAAGCCAGCCTACCCCAAAGATGTAACGAAGGAGGACTGTCCACGCTGAAAACAGCATCCCCAGAGAAACTTTTGCAAACTTCCACTGGCGAGCGTGTGTCCACAAGTGCACGGTAGAGGGCACATACTGCACAAGAAAGGACGCGAAACTCAGCTTTGTCTTTCGCAATCTCACTTCGGATAACCTCTTGTACTAGACGATGTACACTAAAAGACTTCGTTCCACACCTTTGGAAAAGAGAAAACCTGGTGAGAAGCGACACAATACCTCCGGAGTCCCACCCATCGCCTGCTGCTTCTGCATTTTCCACTTTATTCAGTTCTTCATTTATCACTTCAAAAGGGATGTCTTCGGGACCAAGGTAAGCAGAAATGTGCATTACAAGAACAGGGATTTCTCCTAGGTCATCCTCCTCTGAGATGCGTCTTATGTGATCAAAATTCAACAGCCATGTCGTCTTTACAGCCAACCGCTCTCGGGGTGTATATTCCACCAGAAGGCGAGCCTCCTTTTTCTCCAGAAGAAGCAATCTCTTCTCTTTAAATTTTATCATATACTCTTTAACAGTCGAGTTGGGGACACATCTAAGATAGGCTGCAGCTTGATCAAGAGCCAGAGGTAGTCCGCCAAGTTCTTGGAATAGCTTACGAAAATCATCATCTTCTCCGGTTATCTCACTTCGTATTCGTAAAAACTGTACTCCTTCTTTCTCTGTCAAGCACTTCAACTCAATACAAGAGCTTTCTTTGATTCCCGTTTCTTCTCCGATTTCCTTTGCTTCTCTTCTTGTGGTTATGATGATATGACCACGGGCAGCTTGTTTCCAATGACCAGTCAGCAACTTCCGCATATCCATGGACATTTCTAACTCATCCAGATTGTCAACCACTAGACACCACAGCTGCTTGCGCACTCTCAGCCAGTCCAAGGTTCTTAACAGCGAATTGGAAAAGTCTTCGTCATCAAAAGTACCAACTTGACGTGCCATCTCGCTGACAGACAATTGAAAAAGGTTGTTATTTTCGCCAGAAATCCAAAAAATACCACCGGGATATTCCTTATTGTCTTTCTGTCGCCAGAGAAACTCGACAGCAAGAGATGTTTTTCCAACACCCCCGAGACCGCAAATTGCTGATTCAGAACAACCATTCTTAGTATTGTTCAATAGCTCTGCGATAGTTTGTAGCTCACTTTCGCGACCGCAAAAGCAACTATTGCGACGGGGCAGTTGGAATAT